CTATCTGCCCTTTCAGTCTTCCACCTTAACAAGGGACATTCCTCTCTCACATCTTTAACTGATGAGTAGTAAGAAGTTTGCCCTCTTAACCTCTAAACATCAAGCTTGCTAATAAAAAGATCTGAGAAAAAGTCAATTTTGATTTTTTTTTTAATCTCAGTAAGCTACAACTTATATAGCATTTTATACCCTTCATGGAGTAAACAGCAGTACAGGACCAGGAGCTCACATACTCCAGACCTCAGTTTCCTTTTCTTTAAAACGGAAATTAAGCTGGAAGCTTAATTTCTCAACAGACATGTATTGTGGTCCCCATTGACTGCAGCAGGGTTTAGGAACTAAACAGTGAACAAAAGACAAAGGTAGGGGATGGAGGTATAGCTCAGTTTGTAGAGTACCTGCCTAACATGCACAAAACCCTGAGTTCAATTCCCAGCATTTCTGAGACCAGAAATAGTAGTGTAGGACTCAAGATCATCCTCAGCTTTATAATGAGTTTAAGATCAATCCAAAATACATGAGACCCTGTATTGGAGGAGGGAGGGAGGGAGGGAGGAAGACAAAGAGTCAGCTGAGAAGGGAGTCTCAGTTGAGAGATTTTCCAGATTAGATTAGCCTGTGTACATGTCCATGGGGGATATTAATTGATTTAAGAGGGCCCAGTCCATTGAGGATAGCACCATTCCCTGGGCAGGTTGTCCTGGAATGCATACAAAAAGCTAGCCAAGTATAGGTCAGCATGTGAGCCAGCAAACAGCACTCCTCCATGGTTCCTGATCAAGTTCCGTCCCCTGGGACTATAACCTATAAGCTGAAATGAACCCTTTCCTCCCCTAAGCTGTTTTCAGCCAGTATTTTATCATAGCAACAGAGATGAAACTAGAATAAGGTGTTATTATTATTTATTACCAATTTGCTCTCTTCTAACTCTGGGCCATGAGGTCTTATTAGCTTGGCTGTGCTAATCTATTTACACTGAAGTGTATTTTCCTTTCACAACCAGCACCTTCATTTGCCTCACCAGAACCTTGTATTTGAGACTCTTCGCAGCACAAGCCATAAACGTATGTGTCAGTAACACGCTTTTGGAAGCTCCTCTTGCTTTGTTATCACCCCTAAGAACACAGGAAGAATTAAGACTCCCAAGTTGATGAGCACCCCACGGCTCCTTGACATTGGCCCTCTTTACCCCTGCAGAAATTGCTTAACAGAACCTCAGAAGTCCTCAGCTCTGGCCTCTGGGGTGGCAGAGAGAGGATTTAATGTTTTCCTTCACATTTCAAAAGTCACTTTAACATTTAAAGAGTGTGAGAAAATGGACCAAGAAAGCAGGAAAAGTGTCGTAGTGAGAGAGAATCCTCAATGCACTCTGGTGCCGAGAAATCTGAGGGGTTCTGGTCATTTCCATCATTGATGAGTCCCACTTGGGCAATATCTCCAGCAGGCTGTTTCTTGGAATTGGTTGGTGGCTATCCATGCATCTCAGTATGCAAAGGTCGTGAATGTAAGCCAGATTTGAGAACGATTCCCTCTCCCTTCCATCTTCTCCTTGAGTTTGTGTGTGGATTATAAATAGTGCCTAGTTAACTGATTTTTACTAAATGTAATTTTTATTGCATATAATTCACAGACTATAAAATTGATCGTTTAAAATGTATGAGAGATGGCTCCACAGTTAAGAGCAATGGCTGCTCTTGCAGAGGACCTAGGCTTGGTTTTCAGCATCCACATGGCAGTTAACAACTATCCATAACTCCATGTCCAGGGGGTCCAATTCTCTCTTCTGGCTGCCACAGGTATTGTATGCACATACACGCAGCAAAACACTCATGCACATAAAACAAAAATAAAACAAAAAACTGTAAATGTATAATTCATTTCTTTTTACTGTATTTCCAGATTGCCTTCCTTTTATTTTGTTTCTTTTTCTTTTCTAGGGAGAGGGAACAACCCTCAGTACTCATGCATTGATCCAACATATATTTACTGATGACTTACAAAATCAAATAAAAAGATTCCTGTTCTCATAAAGTTAGCATTATGTCAGGAAACTCTTTAATAGGCAAATAAAATGAATAAATTATACAGTATGTCAAAAGTTATAAGTCTATAAAAAATATAGCAGGACAAGAATAGGGCACAGGCATGGTGGTAGACAGAAAAGGAGATCGTGACTTTCAATTGGATATCAGACTATCCCCTAAGAAGGCAGTATTTGGGCTGGGTAGGGTGGTGCACGCATTTAATCCTATCACTCAGGAGTGAGAGGCAGGAAGACCTCTGGGAGATAGAGGCTAGCCTGGTCTACATAGTGAGTTCCAGTTGTGAGGCAACAAGGGAGACCCGGCTCAAAAAAAAAAGAAAGAAAGAAAATGGTCATGTGCTCATCTAGGAGAAGCATGTTTAAGCAGAGCAAATGGTAGTGGTATAGTAAGTGTCAGGGTGAGACTCTGAGGTCAGAGGCATGTTGAGAAACAGCCAAGAGGCCAGGGTACTGGGGGCTTAATAAGTGAGGGGAAGAAGAATGGGACCAGGTCAGAAAAATCAAGGGTGACCAAATCAAGTAGGACCTTGAGTCACCTGTGAAAACCTTGGTTTTGCTTCTTAGTTGGGGGGGGCACTGTAGAGTTCTAAACAGAGAGATGCTATGGACCAATGTGCATCAACCAGGATCATGCTGGCTTCCATAGGGATTGGAGAGGGAAAAAGAAGGTGATAACCCAGTTAGAAGGCTAACTGAACTAATAACACTGGAATAAACTGGTGGCCCGGGGTGTGGCCTGGAAATGTGATGGTCTCAAGTGACCATTGGTAAAGATGGTAAGAAATGGTCTGAACCCACATATACTATGAATGTAGTCAACAGGTTTGACTGGTGGAGATGTGGGGTATGAGATAAAGATAAAGATGACTCTGGTAATCTCCAGTACTGAACAGTAACAGCCAGTTAGTGGGGCTGGTCATGTGTGTCCAGGAGTAATGCTTAGCTGTCTGCATTTCTTTGTAGAAAGTCCAATATTTAGGCTGGAAGAAATGTAAATTGTTATGGAGTTTCTCAAATTAGTAAAAAAAAAATGTTATCACACTATTTCCAAATCACAGTACAGTTGTATAAGCATCAAGTGGTCAAATACATTGTATCTTTAATTTTAATCCTACTTTAAAGCTAAAGACCATTACTGGTTATTAACCACTGGTCAACAACCATAACTAAGAAGTTTAACACATTGCTGTTGTCTCTCACAATTAGCAAAGTGTTCCAGCGCTGTGTGGGGTTACTCTTTGTGCCTAATTTAATTGTTATGATAAACCTTTCATACATTAAATAGTTTTAAATTCATGGCATCAGGTACCTGTACTTCAATTGTAATTCAATTAAGTGCTTGTGTTAACTCTTCACAGCTCCATATCTAAATATCGAATATAAGCTTACACATTTCCTTTTCAGTGACATAACTTTGTGACTTAAAAATGAACCATTTAGAAAAGATTTATATCTCAGAAATTGGAATACTATATAATCAGGGCCTCTTCCTTTCCAACACACTACTGGGCTATATCAGGCTGTAGGACTATGAACACCAGCTTCAGGCACCCAGCAGTGGCACTGGGCGAGCCAGCTGCCCAGAGGAAACAAGTGTTTTATTATCATTGACATTGTTTAAATTTGCTAGGTGACAAGATTACTAGAAACCAGACCAACTTTATTCCTGCTTTCTCTACAATGTTCCTCTCTAGTGCCCGCACCTGGGCAGATGCCTCCATCTACTGCCCCTTTATTCCATTCTCACTCTTTGATAGCACTATGATCATATTACTTAACTTCTTATGCCTTAGTTTCCTCATCTATTCAATGAGGACCTTCCAACCCACCATGCTGACTGCTGAGGAGTCAACACACTATGAAGTGCACAGTATACGGCCAAGTAATAATAGAGTGAATCTTTGAAAGCTTCCTTATAGCTTTAAGAAAAGGGAGGGTAATTCCATCGCTCAATGGCCTTTTCACATTCATTGTGCTTTCCAAGTCCAGGACTATTGATGCTGGCTCCCCATTTGATGGTCTTTTACCCTCTTTCTGTATGTGTAGACTTGTTCATTCCTCACAGTTGGCCCAGCTGCTCCCACCTCTAGGAATGTTTTCCTTATTCCCATGCATGATATAATCTTCCTTTCTTTAAAATTCCTGTTCCTAAACCCAAGACCTACTGGATTAGAATCTTCATTTTAGGAAGATCGCCATTGGATTAGTGTGAACTAAAGAGAAGCCCTACTTTAACTACTGATTCTTAAACTTGGTTGCCTGTTGGAATTATCAGAGGAGTTTTAGACAGCTTAATACCTAGACACTGCCCCCAAGTGATCCTAACTCAGTTGATCTGGGCACAACCTGGACACCAGTGTTTTGTTTTGTTTTTAAATTCCAAGTAATTCTAACATGTAGCAATGTGTGAGAACCACTGCTCTGTAAAGTTCCCCTTCTACTTCCTCATGTGGCCTTTAAATTCTCATGTTCCATAATGCTGTGATTTGTGTCCGTGTGTTTTTTTCTACCTCTATTAAACTATAAGTCTTTTTAAGAGTGAGAACTAGCTTTGAATACAATTTCATCACCTTCTTCCTAAACCAAATTTGCCATATAATTGTTCAATGTATATTTATTGAAGGAATGATTTATTTGACATCAAAAATATGGCTATAACTCAAATCTGAGGACTATTTGGAAATTGTCTCAAAATCCAGGAGTTATTTCCTTTTCAAATCTAAGACCAAACTTCTAAAGAATCAGAGACTGGTGACTAAAACTGAGAATAGATTCTCTGGGTGCCAGCGCAGCCATCCAGTGCCATCTCTGTGGGCTGCTTATAAAAAAAACCAAAGCTTGGAATCCTGGCTCCAGAGGATGATGTGAAATGGTGCAAAGCATCCTTACATACTTCATGCATCCAACTCAGAACTTCTGGCTTAAAATTGATGATGCTATTGTTTTTCTCTCCAAGGTACTATTTTGATATTTATGGGGATTGCTGTTCTCACTATGAAGGCATCCATTATTGAAGTGCTCGTTGGTAAGTACGTTTATATATGTATCTGGATATTCTTTGAATGCGGCCAAGAAAAGTTTCAGGCCAAGACAGGGCACATAAACAATCACAGAATACTTTATTATGATAAATATTGTCCAGAGAAGTTTAAGGGAGAATGTTAAGTGTAGATCAAATTTGAGATGTTTGCATATTTTTTTATATAAAGCAAATACACATAGCATTGTGTGTATTTTTTCAACAGCAAATATTTCAGACAGAGCATATTTTCAGATTCTGAATTTAAGGCTCTTCCCATTTCTAAATTTTTCAAGAAAGAAAAAATTTATCATGGACATGGCTTTCCATGCCATTGCAACTCGCACTTTAGAGATGAAACACTTAAGTTACATGCTATCACCAAGGATAGGTCTACTGGATAAGGACACCACTTGTAGGTTTAGAACTGAGTCCAAGGGTAATATTCTGTTAAGCTGGGACCACTGTCTGTAGCTTTGTCAGCCAACACAACTCTGTGTGTCACTATGATGCTGACGAGCACAAAGACTTTGTAGATAATCTATATTAACTTCATGGGGCTGTTGGAACAAAATGCCATAAGCTGGGAAGCTTAGAACTACAAAAACCTATTCTTTTCCTGCTCTGGAGATTTGAAGTCCAAAATCAAGGTGTCAATAGGAATGGGTCCTTCAGCGGGTACTGAGGAAGAAGCCTATCTGATGTCTCACCCCTACCTTCAGGCTATTTCCTGGAAATCCTTGGTGTTCTTTAATTATAAATGTATCATTCCACTCTTAATCTTTATATGGCATCCCCTGTGTGCATGTCTGTCTATGGATTTTCCTTTTCTTTTTTTTCAAATAGGATTTTTAAAAATATTTCATTATTTTTATTTTATGTGTATGAGTGTATTGCCTGCATGTATGTGAGTGCACCCGTGTTGTGCAATGTCACGGCGGTCAGAAGAGGGCTTCGGGTTCCCCTGGAACCAGGGTTAAGGACAGTTCGTAGCCACCATGTGGGTGCTGGGAATCGAACCTGGGTCCTCTGCAAGAGCAGTCAGTGCTCTTAACTGCTGAGCCATCTCTCCAGACCCTGGATTTTTCTTTTCTAATGACATTAGTCATGTTGAATCAAAAACCCACTTTACTTCATTATGACCGCATCCCAGTTGTACATGCCATCCACCTGTTTCCAGATCAGGCCATATTCTGGGTAATTGGGATTAGGATTTCAATATACAAATTGCACAGGGTGGAGATGAATCTCAACCCATCACAGAGTGAGCATGCTCAAGGTCTGCTAGATAGTACTAAAGATTGGAAGACAAGACAGTGACATAGCTTGGAAGGCAAGGGGATCTCATCATGACAGGATGCGCAGTGGGCTGGGAATCAGAGAGAGGACATGGGTTCAGGTTCTGAGTCATTGTGAGTTTGCTGATCTTGGAAAGTCATTCCTTTTAGAGCCTGCTCTTTCTTCTGTGAAGGATGTGGCTGAGTGACTATCCAGCCCTATATAAAATGGTTGCCAAGTGCTAGGGCAGTTTTCTCCAAACCACTGTCTCTCAGCTAGACGACCCTCTGTCACAGTGGAACATCAGCAGGACAGTCCTAATCCTCAGTGTCACCATATGCTGCTTCTGTTAGATGACTGTGAGAAGTCCAGATGGGCTTCTGGGTACCTATCCAGGAGCCCTCTCCCCAACTACTAATGTTCTTATCAGATTGGGCAAGGTCCAAGGATCAACAACCCAAGCTGGCCACTGTTAACAGGGGGTTGCTGTCTGGATGGGGTGCTTCTAGGGTATTAGCATCACGTTCAAAGACTTGAAGAGGTGCATACAGATTGCAAAGTGGCAAGGAACTTTGTTCAGAAGGAAAGTGATGGTACAGATCAGATACACTACAAGAGAGCAGCAAGCTTCTTGAGTTGGAATACTGAAGGATCTCTGGCTGCTGTCCTGAGCTTCCTTTTATGGATCTAGGAGAAAGAGAGTTGGTTGCCAAGAGGCGTAGTGTGAGTGGTTCTGTTTTAATTGACAAGCTTGGTAATGCTAAAATTCCTCCTGGGGGCGGGGGGCGGGTGTAAAAATGTCCACTCTTCCTCCTTTGGTCCCAACAACAAACTGAAGTACAACTTCACCAAACTGCAGTCCAGGAAACCAGTGAGTTTACTGGTCTTACTGTCGCCAGAGTTCTCTTGGTTTATGCCCTCAGGTAGGGAGGGGGTAAATGCGGGAACTTACACAGGGACAAGCACTCTTGCCCCAAGGCTCATGCTCCTGATCCCGGCCCACAGTGTCCTTTAACTTTCGCCCAGGCATCTTGGGCCCAGAATCTCGTCCCAGGTGGGTAAATGCCCCCTCTCGCGTCCATGCGGGTGAGGGCCGGGGCCATCTCTCTCACCACACCCACCACCACAGGAGTTCCTCCCGCTTTGCGGCTTCCCTCCCAAGATGGCGCCCAGCAGCCCCCCAGTAGTCCCTCCTCCACAGCAGGCCCCAACCCTTGGAGGAACTAATCACCTGGGGGCCACTTATTTACAGCTCAATGGGTGAGGGTTTACTTACAGGAATGTGGGTGCTCCTCTCCTTCCTCTCCCCTGCCCCCAGTAAGGCCACACTGGAAAATCTTCGCTCAAGCATGGATGGTGGCTTCCCCACAGCCACACAAAATGGCAAGAGACCCTTCGACTTCCCCAGCCTATATACCCTTAGCCCCTCCTCCAGGCCACAAGAGCAACTAGGGCCAACTGGTTGGTTGGGAGATGTGGTTGGACTCACAGGCAAGGGTCCCTTGACTCTCCCTGCCCCTCCCTTTTTGCCAGGCATGATAGTTAATGAGCTCAGCTGCACCAATCCTAGGCAAGCAGGTGCAACAGAGCTTGGAAAGATGGCATCTGTCTTTTATTAGTCTCTCAGAGGACAAACCTATACAATACTCCACCCCTTCCTCTGGTTCTTACAGTCTTTCTGCCATTTTCTTCTACAAAGGTCCCTCAGCCTTGTAGGGGGTGACATAGATGTCCAACAATTTTCCTCCCACTTTGGAGAGATACTGAACCCAAGGGCCCATCTCAATGGTATTCCACCTACTATAAAACACAAATGAAAAGGAAGAAAGGGGAAAGTATCCAAACATGGACATTGACTGCAATAATAATCTATGGGTGTAAACAGGTATTTTGAAGGCAACTTAGCAAGTGCATTATAATCATCTAAAAAAAAAAAACATTGCAATGGCTTCCTCACTGGGACCTGTAACCTCCCCTGGCACAAGGGGTTGGCCTGACAGTATCAGATGTGTGTTCTTCCCTGAGGAGTGGGCCTTAAATCCAATTTGAAATTTATTGGTTGTAAATAAACTAGTCATGCCACTATTGCACTGACAAGCACATCTTGCTAAACTGCAGCACGTGGACCATCATTAAGCAAGACTTTTGGGGACAGTTCTCCCCCAGTGATCTGCATAGCATCTTCTGCACTATGACCACCAGTCAAAGGGCTGGCAAGGAGTTTCCAGCTTAGTCCTGACTTCATTTCTCCCTTTCCTGTGCTCACATTATGTGGTGTCTTCAGCAATAGACCCTTACCTTCTAGTTCTAGCATGTAACCAACATTAATGGCAATAGCCTTTATCACTTTAGGGGCTTCTGGGGCCTCCCTGGCCAACAGCTCATGGGGGGAGGCAACCCACCCCTGGCACTGGGATTTTTTTAATATATTTTATTTATTATTTTCATTTTATGCGTATGAATGTATTGCCTACATGTATGTAAGTGTACCCGTGTTGTGCAATGCCTACAAAGATCAGACGAGGGCGTTGGACCCCCTGGAACTGGAGTTATGAATAGTTGTTAGTCACCATGTGGATGCTGGGAACTGAACCCTGGTCCTCTGCTGAGCAATCTCTCCAGTCCCTGGCACTGAGATTTTCATCTAACAATCATATAGTTTCTATGAGCCTCTGTTTTTATTTTTATATCTTTAATTCTACAATATATCTTTGCTTATTCTATAGGCCCAGGCTGCTGCAGACTTTTCCCAACCACCTTGGTGGGCATCACTTGTGCCTTACCAAACCATAAAGCCCCCAAGGATTTCACAGCTGCACCTGGCCCTTGTGCCCCTTGTGAACTGATTTCACATCCTTGCTCCTTCTAGAAAAAGAAGATGCTAAATCAAATGTAAACAAGGTCTAATACATCATGGAAAGAGTCTATCCATTTGTACCAATTGTTTCCTTAACAGATCCATTTAAGGTACATGAGTATGGATAGGAGGCACTAATTTAGTTAGCTCTCCACAAACTAATCTCCATTAGTCATTTTCTCTGATCCCTTCCGTTTTCATATCCTGGAGCTCTTACATGGAGCCTTCCTGTATTTCTCCATCCCTGATGAACATTTTGGGGTTGGCTCAAGCTGCTCAGCCCTTCACAAGGCCAAGAGGGAAACTGGGTCCCACTTGCCCCTGCTGCACCTGTTGGTCCCCTGAACAGATAGGCCCTGGGTCTGCCCAGTAACTGTAGCTACACCTATTGCCTCTCCATCGGCCACACCTGGATGCTGGGGGAGGCCCTAGATGGACAAACTGTCTCCAGCCCTAGCATAGCCTTTCACAGGAGGGAAATGTACCCTGTAATCTGGGGGAATCATTATCCATCCCTGGATAGTTCTTATCTTCTATACCTGTATTTTATCATGAATACCTTCTGTGAACTGCTTCTCAAGCTTGAAAGCCTTCCAGAACCTTTAGTAGAATTTGGCTTTTTGTCAATTTTTTCTTTAGGAACTTGGGCTCCACACAGGTCTTGCCACATTTGCTTTCATGTAACCAAAACAGACCTCATTCTCTGCTTTGCCTTTTTTCTGTCTCCTCTAGGTTGCTCTACCACTTTATGAACACACTTCACATGCTTGTCTAAGTCACTGAGATCTTCCAAAGTCTTTCCAAACTCAAAAAATTCCTGCCCCATTAAGCAACTCAGCAAAGCCACTAAAGCTCCTTACCAACCTTGAGG